TTCTAGGTGGGGCCTGGAAGGCCGGTGAAAACCCCTGTTTGGAAGTCATCCCAGGGGAGGAAAGCAAGGTGCCCTCCTGGGCCACCTGAAGGGGCTTTCTTGCAGGCCTGAGGCAGCCACTCTGAGAGCCCACGATGTCTCCTGGGCCTCCCCCATCAGTCTCCATTGAGCCCTCACCTAGGCCAGGCAGAAAGCAGGGTGCTGGGACCTTTGGGGAGGGGGCCCAGTCGGCCTGGGGTCCTGAAGCTTAGTCAGGGGAGTGTACCTGGGGACAATATGGAGAGGTGAATGCCAAGCCTACCGAAGACAAGTCACCTGCTGACCACCCCCATGGGGGAGAGGGCCATCCTTTTGAGGGCACATATGTCCCCTGACCCCTGGTTCTCCTGAGTTTGAGCATGGCTGTGCCACTTGCCAGATGTGCAGCCTCAGGAGAGCTGTGGACCTCTCTGAGCATCCGAGCCCTCAACTGTGAGGTAGGGAGATGGTGAGGTGCCTGAGATGGTGTGTGGAGTGCACTGGTCAGTAAATATCATGCAGCAGTCATAATTGTGATCACATGTGTGATGTTTGGGGTGTGTGTGAACTTGGCTGGGCCATGATTCTCAGTGGTTTAGCAGTTATGTAATCAGCAGTGAATCAGTTGAAAGGGAGTTTCCTTGGGTGTGTGACCTGCACCCAATATATAGATAGAAGTTCCACCAAGGTTCTTGCTCTAGATCCTGCATCTGGCTCATCATCATTTGACCTCCAGTTCTTGGGACTTGAGCTAACAGCTTACCTGCCTGTCTTGGGATATGTCAGCATCCACAGCCTGTGAGCCAGTGGCCTGCCATCTGACCTGCTGATCTTGGGTTTGTCAGCCTCTGCAGCTATGTGAGTCAGGAGAAGCCCCCAGCCTGACGCACAGACTTGGAGCTTGCCAGGCTCTACAACCACATGAGCCATTTCCTTCAGATAAATCTCTCTCTCCTTCTATCTCTATCTCTACATATATACACTTTATTGGTATTGCTTCTCTAGAGAGCCCAGGCTAAGAAAACATGTAATGTCAAATGTGCAATGTAGCCAAACATGTCCCCACAGGGAAAAAATTGCAAAACATATAGGATGGGTCAGTGGTCCTCCACCAGTCCCCAGACTGAGCCTGCCTGTGGAAATAGTTAACATCTGTGAGGGTCTCCCCTCGCCTCCCCTCCCCAGGATGCATACGCAGCATGGACCCCCCTCACTGCAGTAGTGTCTCTTGGGGCTGCACAGTGCTCCCTGGCCTCTGTACTGGTAACCAAGGTCCAGAGTCACCTCCAACCCAGAGACAGCAGGAAGTATGTGGTGAGCAAGGCCACTTGTGAGTGGGGAGGGAGGAGAGGGGGATCCTCAGTGCCCCAACCCAGATGGGGAAGGGTGTCAGGGCCAGGTCAATCCTGGCTCTCTCTGCCACTTGCTGGCTGTGTGACCTGTGCATGCTACCTAGCTGTTCTGTGCCTCAGTTTCCCTATCTGTAAAATGGAGATAGTGGAGGATGCTTCACAGGGTTACTGGAGTATTTATTGTGTTAATACATGTAGAGCACCTGGTATCTCACTTGGCAAGAGGAGGGGCATATACGTGGGAACGACCATGACCAGCACAAACAGCTGGGCCGTTTTCATTTGTGATGTGCACTGGTCCCTGCCCACATAGAGCACGGAGGTGCTGCTGCTGAGGAAGAGCATGGCTGCTTGCCTGGTGGCATGGGGGTGCTGAGGTTTGAGGTTGAAATGTCCTCACAGTATAAACCTGAGTGAAGTGTCAGGAAGTGTTGGTGGCAAGCCTGGCCCTGCCCACCTCTGACTGTCATTAACCCCTCAGAGCAAGCCCCAGACCTTGGCTCAGGTTCCCAGAGCTGTAGGGGATAGGGGGCCTGGGGAGCCCTGGGGGCAGAGAAGGAGGGCGTGGGAGAGGGTCAAGGGGCACCAGCGGCTGTACAGGGCCCAGTACACTGGAGGAGGGTGCGCCTGTAGAGACTTAGGGCATAGGGGAAGTGCTGAGATACTGTGGGTGGGAAAAGGCCAGTGCCAGTGGATAGAGAGGAGTTGCTGAGAGCCAGGCTCACATAGGAAAGGAAAGGAATCCTGAGGATGCAGAGCCAGGAGGCGAAGGTTCTAGGACCAAGGTTGAGATAGTGGTTAGAGGAGTTACAGAGGAGAACTAAAACCCCAATCAGACAATACTTGACTCCTGGGTAGAGTGGCTCAAGAAACTAAATCATATGTCCATCACTCATCAACTGGATAACTGTCAAGCCAGGTGCTCAGTGTAAAACTGCTCTGCATAGTAAGTCACACCCACATGGGCACACATGAATGTATTTATACTCACACAGGCACACACAGGTACACATGCACACACAGGTACACACCATACACTCACATGCACACACAGACACACATGCACACACAGAGACACACATGCATGTCCACACACACTCAGACTTACATGCACACACATGCCCCCCACAGACACACACATATACACACATGTTCTTACAGGCACACATGAACTCACACACACACCCACACTTCCCCACACAGTCTCTCTCTTTCACACACATACACATACACACACACACATACACTGACCTACTCCAAGGAGCAGAAGGTTTACTTGCCCCAGGGCCCCACCCATGGTACCCCATCTGAGAAGATACCTTAGCAAGCTTGGCTGAAGAGGGGCAGGGTCAGAGTTGACATCAGAGAAAGTGGAGCTTACCAGAAAGGATGAAAATCAGATTGAGAAAGAAGGCTTTTCCTCTCAACAGTCGCAAAGTTCTGAGGAAACCAATGGAGCCATTTTCTAAGGCCTGGGAGGCTCAGAGAAGGGAAGCTGCCTCTGGGGGCTCAGCTTCCTGTCAGTGGATAGAGTTGGCACCTGGGAGAAGCTAGACCCCACGGCCCACCCTTGGGTCCCTGCCGTCCCTCCACCCCACAGGAAGGCTCTGGAACCTGTTCTCAGGAGCCCTGATGGAGGACCTTGGGTGCCAGAGCCTGGGTGCAGAGGCAATCTATAAGTTTTGCCCCCTCACCAATTTCAAGAAGAATAGATGTTGATAATGGTGACGCGTCAGCAGAAATACCTTGTCCCCCCCTTGTCTGGCTACCTCAGTCAGGTGCCTTTCATATTTGCAGTACCTCAGAATGTCATTCTGCACCTCATATGGTGCCCCCCTGGACTTGTTCCACTGGCAACAGCCTCCCTCTGCCTCCCTGCCCATCGGCTGCTGTGTCTCTGCCAGGGTTCCTATCTCTGCTCCACCACCAGAAAGAGGGGACTTTGAGTGCCCTCCTTCTATAGACAGGCCCTGAATCCTTGCAGGGGCTGCTACTGGTCAAGTATAGGAGGCACAGTAGCAGGCACAGCCCTGTGACTGTGGGTGGCACTGTCAAGCCCAGGAAAGCCTGTGATAGCAGACCTAGGAGCATGAGGCGCAGGGACCCAGCACCCCCAGCCCGTGAGCCGCCCGGCTAAATGCTTGGCCTGTACCCTCTCACATAATCCCTCCAGTATCACCCATTTCATGGAGAGGTTCCAGGATGCACGGTGGTAGTTGTGGGTGTCTGAGGAGCACCCAGACCCCACCCAGGGCTCTGTGGAGAGGGCAGGCCTGACGGGAGGCAGCCCAGGTTTGGGGCCTTGGCACTGGGGCCTTGGCTTTGTCACTGGGGGTGGATGCAGAACAGGACTTGACACCTGGAGAGGGAAGGCCCCCATCGATGCCTGGTGTTTCCTGTCGCAAGGATTGTCCCATGTGATTCTGCTACTGTCCCACTTTTTAGGTACAGAAACTGAGGCACAGAGAAGCACATGTAAGAATAATCAACAGAGAGTATGAAAAACTAAATCCTAGTCCTACTAAGACAGAGGACCAGGCTGGGAGGTGAGGCCATGTAAGGCCGAGGAGGGAGAGTGAGGATGCCGGCAGGCAGCCGGGAAGGTCAGGGAGGGCTGTCCTGTCCCCAGCCCACTGCTAGTTCTGGCTTCCAGTGCTGTGGAGTCACAGTGGGCGAGTGAGTCATATTTGCTGAGCGCCCATGAGCCCGTCACTGAGACCAGAGCAGGAACTTCTGAGACCAGAGCAGGAACCCTTGGGCTTGCCCCTCCCCCACAGTGCCTGCCTGGTCACCACAGCTTCCCTGTGTCAACGCACCACCCTGGCTGGGCCCAGGGGCCCGAGACAGCGTCCCCCAGTGTCACCATCTCTTGGCATACAGATTCACCATGTGGGGCCCTGGTCCCTGTGTCCCGGTCCTGCCCGAACACCCTCTGCCTGGCCCCCTCTGGCTGGGCCCCTGTCCTCTTCTGAAGACAGAGGGCAGAAACCAGCCGGTCTGGGGCCCCGCTACCTGGCAGACGGTTGTGGCCTGAGTGGCCTGCTCTGGGGCCAGCTCCTTGGATTACACAGGTGGGGCCTCTCATCTCCGTCAGCCTCGATGCTTGATAAGTCTGCATGCTGGGGTTGTGGGGGGGGGGCCTCAACGTTTCGTGTGTGTGTGTGTGTGTGTGTGTGTGTGTGTGTGTGTGTGTGTGTATGTGTGTGTGTGTGTGGTGGGGGGTGGAGGAGGGCACATACGCCCTGGCTGTGCTGAGCGGGCAAATGCTGCAGGGGCAGATTCAAGGAAGATGGAAGTGTTTGATCTCTGGGGTCCCTCAGCCCTGATCTCTGGGTTCCCTCAGCCCAGGCACAGGGCCAACTGTCAGGCAGAAAGGAGAGGCATCACGTAGGAACCCTGGACTGATGACCAAAGGTACACACTGGTGGTGGGAGAGCAAGAACTGCTCAGGCAGACATTCTCAGGTCTCTGAAGAACCGACTTCCCTTGTCCCCAGCCTGCTGTGGGACAGAAGCCCTCCCTGGAGTCCGCAGCCCCCGCCGCGCAGTGTCCCTGGGCTGGATGCTGTCGGTAAGCTCAGAGAGAGGGTGCAAACGCAGAGAACATCTCAGCAGACAGCAAGCCTCTTACCTCTGGAAAGGCCCTCCATGGCGCTCAAGACAACGCAGCAGCAGGCCAGCAGCATCCAGGCTGACCGCATGGTGGTTGTGTGGGAGGTCGGAAGGCTGGGCCCAATGAGGCTCGGGGCCTGGCTGTGCTCGTGCCCCGCGGCAGTGCTCGTGCCCTGCGGCAGTCCTTGCTGCCCGGTGGTGCCCTGTGCCTGCAGGGGGTCTGTCAAGAAACAGGAGGGGACGGAGTTCCCCCAACAGCCTAGCTGAGTCAGGTGGGGTGGCTGTGCTGTGGGATGGAGGTTTCTTGCTGAATCATTTTGATCAGAAGCTCTTTCCCTCCAGATCTATAGACCAAACCTCAACCACTTCCTCTGTGCAAGTTTCCTAGCCACGATCGTTTGCTGGGGGAGGGGGCAAGACACAACACCCAGGCCCAAATCCATGGCAGTTTCTCCCCCAGCCACATATGGAAGGTACTTTACATTAAAAAACCAGCAGAGATTTTCAGAAGTAGAATCATCCGGGTTTCCTTCTCCAAATGATACCCCGCCTTGCAAAGACTCAGGCGTGCTGAAGGGGCCCTGGCAAGAGACCAGTGTCACTGGTGTGAGTCCCCACCTCCAGGGGAACCTGGGCAGAAGAGCAGGCTGGGAACCCTTGGAGCCCAAGGGTGAGGAGAAGGCTGATGTGTGAGCAGCTGTGCTCCAACATCCCCTGGGACCCTGAGGGAGCAGCGATGCCGGTTCAAGGACTGGCCAGCCCCATCTTTTGCTCAAAGCTGGCCCAGGAAAGGAGAAGACAGTGTCTGAATGAGGGCAGGGGCCTGTTCCAGAAGGGAGTCCACTCACACACACAGCTGTGTGAGTGCAAGGGACAGCCTCTCCGAGACTGTTTCCCCCTCACTGGTTGTGGTGAGGATTTGGGGACTTTCTCTGTCCCCTGTAAGAGCTCGGAGCTTTGAAGAGTGCCCCTGCCATGGTCACAGCTTCAGGGAGGCTCATGTCCTGCTTAGGACCTCTGAGCAGCCAGGCAGTGAGAGGGATGCTGGAGCCTGCTGCTCACAGGGGCCGAGATGGCGCTGGCAGCACACCTACACAGGCTGACTTCCAGTCAGAGCCTGGACTAGAACACAGCCCTGGCAAGTGCCGCCAGATGGCCTATGGGGTGGGCACCAGGCGCCAGGTGTCCTGGCTACCTTCAAGGCGAGTGTTGAGGATGGGCACTGTCACCGTGGGGTGCATCTGGTACAAAGCCTCCCTGCTCCCCATGCTGCTGTTGGCACGGTGGCATGAGGATCCTCTTCCAGGCCCTCCCTGTGCCCCATCTGGCCCGAGGCAGGAGATGAAGACATACTTCTGTTGTCTCAAGGGCTTGTCAAAGGCCTGGACTGTCCTGAGTGTGTCACACCCCCATGTCCTCCGAACCTGCTCCTCCAGTGAGTAAGGTGGGTGGGCTCTTATTACAGCTTATTGTCCCTGTTGCCTGTATCATTTTGTATTTGTTGGATGAAGCTCAGGGAGATGACGTGACTGGTCCTAGTCCTGCATCCTCTCCGGCCCTTGGCCCTTTCTTCTGTGAATGTGGGTATGGTCGCCACATTCACCAGCCTCAGCTACCCCTGGGCACAGGGGGACTTGTCAAGTCACAGAGTGCCCTAGCGAGGAATGGGCTGCTGTCAAAGCACCCCCATTGCATGGTTCTGAGGGAAAGTGTGTGTGTGTGTGTGTGTGTGTGTGTGTGTGTAGGGGTGCATGTCTGTGTTTATTTGTATCTCTCTGTGTGTGTCCAGGAGTCTTTGTTTCTTTCTTTATATGAGTCTGAGTGTGAATGTGTATAACTATGTTTTATGTGTGTGTGCTTATGTGATATTTCTGTAATTCTGTGTTCATGTGTGTTTGTGCACACATGTCTCTGTCTATATGTGTCTATGTGTGCAAGTGTATATTGTGTGTATGTCTGTGTCTGAGTGTCTATATGTATCTCTGGGTGAGTCTGTGTGAAAGGGTTTGTATATGTGTCTCCGTGAGCATGAATGTGCTGAGTGTGTATGCCTGTGTGTGTTTGTGCATGTGTGCATGTGTATCTCTGTGTGTGTGTGTGTGTGTGTGTGTGTGTTGTGTGCACTACTTCTGTCCCATCCAAGGCACTGCTGCAGGAGGAAGGGCTCTGAACAGAGGCTCAAGCATTCATTGGTTTGTCCATCTGTCCATCTCTCTGTCCATCCGTCTGTCCATCCATCAATCGATCCATCATCATTGAACCCCTTCCTCCTTAAAGTGAGTTCTCTGACAGAATCAGCAAGCCCAGGGAACTTGATGGGAATACAGAATCTCTGGCTTCACTCTAGACCTACTGATTCAGACTCCCTAGGGGTGGGGCCCAGTAATCTGTGTTTCACAAATCCTCCAGGAGACTTCTAGGCCTCTAATGTTTGAGGACCATGGATTTAGCTAATTTTTCCACCCTCCTGTCCTTTTTTCTCATTGGCACACAGTATGTCTGTCTGCCTGGGTGGTGAGCCAGGGCTGACCCTGGCCAGTCACTGTTCAATTTGGCAAAGAACAGGGCTCTGCCCACTACCTGGTTGCCAAGTAGGGCCCCTAACAAGATCCCTTATCCCTGAAGGTGGGGGATGGGGGGTGGGCCAGCAAGCCCTGGCAATGCTGAAGCCATCGGCCTCTGGGAGTGTTGTTCTCCTAGTGGATGTGCTGTGCCTGCCAGAGTCAGCCCTTCACTGGATGCTGAGTCTCTGCGTGTTTTGCTGGAACTTCTGGAGCTGAATTTGTAAGGTGCAACCCAAGGAGCTGGGCCAGCTCCCGTTTCTTGCTCAGGTGGGCAGGAAGTGCCATCAGTCTGATTTGGGAACTTGCAGGATTCCATACCTGGTCAGTGACAGGAAGGCCCAGGTCCCCCTTCTTCCTTGGGGAGGGGGTTTCCTGGGAGCTCTCCCCACTCCAAAAGAGGGAGACATCACCTAAGTGGCATGGCCCATGCCTTGGCCAGTCTCCCCACTGTTCTCTAATGCTGCTCCTTCCTGCCACTCAGTCTTCCGCAGCTCAGCACATGACAGTTCAAATTCGTTGACTTTTGCTATGTGAAGGGCAAGTCTCAGCACAGATTGCACTGCCGTGCGGACTCTCTGGGAAGGCTCTGCTCTCAGGGTGACTGGACTTGATGCCACCACCATAGGTCACTATTGCAGAGGAAAATAAAGTATATCCAGTTATATTAGTTTCTATTGCAGCGTAACAAATAAACACCAACTTGGAGGATTAAAATAACATTTATTACCTCACTGTTTCCATGGTTTAGGATCCAGCATGGCCTAGTTGGGTCCTCTGCTTAAGTTCTCACCAGGTTGCAATTGAGGTGTTGGCTGGGCTGTGCTCTCATCTGAAGGATCAACTGGGGAAGGGTCACTTCCAAGCTCACAAGGCTATTGGCAGCATTCAGCTACTTGGAAGTTGTCTGCTGAGAGTCTCAGTTCTTTGCTGATCATTAGCTGGAGGCCACCTTCAGTTCCCAGCCACATGGGCCTTCCTGATGCAACTCTTTGCTTCCTCAAAGCTGCGAGGGAGAGAGAGAAAGATGGGATGTGATGTTATCATGGAAGTGACATCCTATAACATTTGCCATATCCCATTGGCTAGATGCAAATCACAGACCCTGCCTACTTTCAAGGGGATTGAATATGCAGACTTGAATCTGAGGAGAAGGGGGTCTGTTGAGTTTGTCCTCCACTCTTACTAAAGTCCAGCGCAAACTAACTGTCCACTACAGAGGCCTGAAAAAAGTGACCATCTGGGGGCAATGTTATTGTTGTTGTTAGGTACCATCGAGTAATTTCTGACTCATAGTGGCCCCAAGTGACAGAGTAGACCTGCCACATAGGGTTTATTTGGCTGTAATCTTTATGGAAGCAAAACAAACAAAACAACTCATTGCCGTCCAGTTGATTCCAACTCATAGCAACCCTAAAGGACAGAGTAAAACTGCACCATAGGGTTTCCAAGGAGCACCTGGTGGATTCCAACTGCTGACCTTTTGGTTAGCAGCCAAACTGTTAACCACTACACAACCAGGGTTTCAATTTATGGAAGCAGATCACCAAATTTTTCTCCCACAGAGTCACTGGGTGAGTTTGAACTGCCAACATTTTGGTTAGCAGCTGAGTGCTTAACCATTTGTGCCACCAGGACTCCTTCAGTGACAATGAGCACTCCTAAATGCAAATTCTCAGCAAAGGGAACCAAGGCTTTTTGGAGAAATGGCTGACTGAAGCCCGGGCAGGAAAGCACAAGGTGAGCCAGGATTGTCTGGTAAGTCCAAGGAGCCAGGAAACCACCAGACCATGGGGGTCACATCAAAAGGACGTGGAGTCACCTGGAAGAGGTTCCCACTGGCCCAAAAGGTGACTATTTAGCATCAACAAGAATAATGACTACCAGGAATTGAAAAACATCAAATATTTTTCTTTTTTAAATTAATTAATTTTTTATTTAAATTTTTTTTTTTGTGAAAATACATACTGTAAAACCTGCTCTGATTCCACAATGATCAGTGACATTGGTTACATTCTTCACATTGTGTCAACATTCTCATGATTTCTGTTCTAGCTGTTTCACCTCCATTTACTTAATCTTTCTGCCCCCTCCCCCAACCTTCTCATCTAATCTTTAAAATAGCTGTTGACTCTTTTGTCTTATATAAACAAAACAAAACAACAAACCCATTGTTGTCAAGTCGATTTCGACTCACAGTGACCCTATAGGATAGAATAGAACTGTCCCATAGGGTTTCCAAGGAGCGGCTGATGGATTCGAACTGCTGACATTTTGGTTAGCAGCCATAGCTCTTAACTACTGCACCACCAGGACTCCTTGGTCTTATATAAATTGTATATATAATATATATATTTAATACAATAACCAAGGGTGACAATCTTTACTTTTGGGGCTAAACTGTTACTTAGTTTAAAGGTGACTTCAGGGGATATTTTCAATTCAAGGTTTGAATAGCTGTAGTCTCGGGGGCTCCTCCAGGCTCAATAGGTCCAGTAAGTCTGGGTTTTTGAAGAATTTGAAGTTTTGTTGCACATTTTTCTCTCTTTTTATCAGGATTCATCTATTGTTTTCCTGATCAGAACTTTCAATAGTGGTAGCTGGACATAATCTAGTTCTTCTGGTCTCAAGGTGGATGAGGCAGTGGTTCATGTAGACAATTACTCCTGTAATTCAGTTCTTTCTCTCATTCGTGGGTTTCTTTCTTTCTCTTTTGTTCCAGACGAATAAAGACCAATAGCAGTATCTTAGATGGCTGTTCGTAAACTTTTAAGACCCCAGACACTACTCATCATTCTGGGAGGTAGAACATAAACTTTGAGAACTGTATTATGCCAACTGACTGGATTGTCCCATGAGATCACGTCCCTAAGCTCTAAACCAAGAGAACTAATCACATGAAGTGATTAGTTATGTCTAATTAGTATCAGCA